ACGATCCCAACGAGCTGGACGAGTTATCGTTTCTCGGTATTGATTCGAACGGCGCTGCCCGATTTGCTCGATCATCGGCAGATCCAAGGGGACTCTTGTTGCTTTCTGGGATATCGGGCTCGGGGAAATTGTTGTTTAGCCGGAAACTGCGGCTCCGTTGCCATACGGATGGCTGTTTGATCGTTAACGGGCTCACTGGCGCGGCAATTTTCTACGTTTCGGTGGGGACCTTTTGTTATTATTATAATAGTAATATTATAATATTTATAATTATATTTATATATATATATTTTTTATAATGATATTACAATATTTATATTTATATACATTTTTTATAACAGTATTATAAAATATTTTATTATTATAAGTGATCCTGTTAATTAGTTGACAGCGAAATTATTAATATTACGCGAGCTAGTTGACTTCAGAAATTGGTGTTCGGGGTGTCTTTGATTTTAGATTAGTTTCTAGATTAATTTTCGTCTTTTGAATGGAATCGGTGAATTTCAATTAGAAAACAATTGTATCGGGATTAATGAGAACGAACAGTTGAGGCCTCGAAGCTTAGAGTATACGCTGAAAAATATTTTAATGTCGACTCTCGGTTTCGGACTGAGTTGTTGAAATTTTCATTAAGTATAGCATGTTATTCCTGCTTTAATTTGAGCTCTCAAACGTTGGAAAATTGCTACAGAAACGCGTTTGAAAAATTAATTTTCAAGTAGTCCCAAATTTCTATTCAAACTAAGATTCCAAAGTGCATTCATTGAGATTTAATTGAACCTTTAAAGGCTAACAAATTTTCACGAAATTTTTTAATCACGTTCATTTACGTTTTTTTACTGAACTGTTCAAACGTCGAGATTTATTAATATTTTGAAGTGATTTCGTTATTACTTTGTCTATAAAAATCTGCAGCTTCTTAAGGTTGACGCTTTTAGCTTTAATTTGAGCTATATTGCACTGTAAAAGACCCTCGGAAATGTAACATAAACTTGGCTTTAAGTTTACCTTATCTTCCTCCGAGTTAGTGACCTGGATTTATTGATTTTTCGACGTGATTACAATTTTATGTTCGGTTTTATGATTCGAAAATTCAGAAAAAGTCCCTAGCAAGGTACCTATAGTATTTGTTCGCATTTGTAGGATGCGCTTAATCGGCTATAAACAATTTTCCATTTCGTGCTGCAATATCAAATATCGGAGCAAAAAATTCGTGCCACTTTCCCCATAAGAAGGATAAAATATAATTAATTAACGTAATAGATAAACATTTGTCAATTGTATTTGTACATGATATCGATACAGTAGATGCTTCTGAACAGTTCTGTGCCTTTGATTTACTTTTTGGTCGCCTAATTTTGTCATAATTAACGTTTTTAAGCGATCCTATATTGCGCATATGTGGCGCCTCTAGTGGAAGAACAATGAAGCTGTTTTCGATGTCCGTACAGCGCCAATTGGTCCAGTGGTAGAACACCCAAACTGTTCGCCGAATTCGACGGTTGGTAATTCGGTGAACAGTTTCAGCGATTTGTCACCGCGCCAATTGGCGCTGTACGGACATCGAATGAAGCTTTATTGTTTCACCGACAGAGGCGCTACATGTACAGAAGGCAAGGTCGAATAAAAAGGTAAATTATGGCAAAATTAGGACATAAAAAACTAAATCAAGAGCACAGAACTGTTCAGGAGAATCTGCTGCATTGACATCGTGTAAGGAAACAAGACGACAACGACGCAAAATCCAATTAGTTAGTTAACCAAACTTGAAAGAACAATTAATTACGTGTTGCAATGTTGTCATTAATTTTTATATACGCAATCGACACAGTAGATTCTTCTGAACAGTTCTGTGCCTTTGATTTACTTTTTGATTGCCAAATTTTGCCAAAATTAACGTTTTTAGGCGACCCAGCATTCTGCATATGTGGCGCCTCTAGTGGAGGAACAATGAAGCTCCGTTCGATGTCCGTACAGCGCCAATT